CTCTTGGAGAAGAGACGAAACGTTTCATTAGAGAAGAACCCGTCCAGAAGACCTACATAATTTTTTTCTTTTTGATTTTCTCTAATCTTAGTGTCCTTGCTATTCTATTTTTTTCCTATTCTTCACCACCTGCCACATCTTATTTACAAGCGTTGTTTGCACACTCTCTGATCTTTGTGTTTTGTTTTTTTTTTTTGAACTTCACAACTCACCTGCCTAATTTTATCTCGTATGGTTCAAAGAAATTCAATAAGGTCTAGGTGATTTGTCTTTGCAATAGTTTGAGGTACAACTTAAGAGCAGAAAATAGAATATAACCTTTGAGAAATAATCATTTTCTGAATGATAATGAAAGAAGAAGAGCCGCATCCCACCTCAGGAGCTCTGTCACGGGGTCACTCAGAGATAAAAGTACATCCGTTCTCTGTAGATTTCATTTTTTTGGATGTGGGTCAACACTGACGGCTTATTAAAGAGTGTGCTGACAGATGTAATTTGTTCCTATTAGAATGAATTGTTTGTGTTGATTCTGGTGGTCAAATTTARTTTGAAGCTTTGCCTAGACAGGATAAGAAATACTAAAAGATAACTGAGATGCTTCAAGCTCAGATTACAAACAGCTATGATGAGTTTGTGTGTTTSTGTTAGTTGTAAAGTGTGAGATTGTGTTTCTTCTGAAGGACAAAGCAGAAAGAAAGTGTAAAGTGTTGAGAAAACAAGATTTAGCTAAAATTACAAGTAAATTCAGAAAGTTATAGAATACATGAAATGAAAGTCAAATTATTTAAAGAATAAAATCACTTTCTTTTTGTTGATCTTTTATTATTATACTTTTATTGTACTTTATCTTGTTAATATGAAGTAACTTTAAACTCTTCTGATTTAACTTTAAATTCAGAACTATTTGCCTGTTTTGAATGAAACAAAAACAGATTGTGAACTTGAAATTCTCAGAAATTTTACTTGCAAAAATCAAACTGCCTTWTTTCTGGGTGAAAGGAATATTGGAATAATAGCCATGTTTTTGTGCTTTATAACAACAGAAAATTTGTTTGGCTTTTGTAACTGTCAGTGTTCACTRATGTAAAAACAGCATCATATGGGAAAACAGGTTTTAATTTACCTGGCATTAGAAAGTATTTAACAGTAATGCACATTATGAATAATGGAAAGCTGAGTTATAAAACAGGCATGAATTAAGAATATATTTATCTTGACATGTCAAACAATTTGATAGAAAAATACAGATCATAAAAGCCAATGCAGTTTCTGTTTGTTTTTCATCATCTTACAATTATCAAAGTCTAAAAAAATATATAAAAGAAAGAGGAAGTGTTTTCCTGACACATGCAATTAATACTCTTAAGGGCTCGNTTTTTTTTCAATATTAAGAAAATAAAATTGTTGATTGATTAGTTAAACAAGCTATGAACCACAAAATTATTTTAGAACACATTTTAGTTTTTTAAATGTGTTTAACCTCTAAGTGATTTTTAAAATATGTACCATAGGCCCAAACTCTCAGATAAATAATTATTACATTGCCATACTGACAAAACTCCAGAGGTGTGTAGTACTCAAAAACTGTACTTAAGAGTAAAAAAGTATTTTAAAAAAAGGCTACTTGAGCACTGAGAAATTGATCAACATGATGTCATCAGACTGACAAAAATAGAAAGTTGTGTGCAAATTCTGSAATTTTTCAAAATTAAAATGAAGAAGTTAAACAAATTAAATAGAAAAAAAGACATTCCAGCATAAGAAACATTTTTCCTTTGCATTTCTTTCCAATATGTTATTTAAAAGAGACATATCCTGCAAAATCCACTTTTTTTAGCTGTTAAATACATTTTGTTGTGGACTTGGAGTTTATCCTCTGGTTCTGGGTCAGATTCTGGTTCTGGGTCAGACTCTGGCTCCAACATGTAAGGCTGGATGGACAAGTCTTCTGTTACTGAAATTTTTTAATTTAATTGTAAATAAAATGTTTCTGTAAGCTGGAAAACATAGCCCGTTCTCTCAAACCAGAGTGGACCGGTCTGAAAGCTGGAGGGGGGCGGAGCTTGAAGTGTTTTAAAGGAACAGTAACAAAACGAGCTGCTTTGAGACACAACAGAAAAGGGGAGAAAGAGGGGCTGGTAAGGTTAGAATAAGAAGGATTTGAGACTAAAGCATTGTAGTTCCACTTTGTATAGACTGAATATGCAGCAGCAAAACTGAGAAGTTCAGCTGAAACTTACAGATTTAACAAAAGTCTTTGATCTTCACAGTCCTCTGCACCTAAACAAGAACATGAAGTCTAATCTAAACAGGAAATAAAAAACACTACTGCTATTATTGTTATTATAAATGAAATGACAACGTAAAATAATTTTAAAACACATTAAATGAGTGATTATTTCAACTTCACAGCCTATATTATATTCTCTATTTCTAAAGTTAAGRAACAAAAGTCAAGTTTTCAGTTTGAGAGCAAACGGCTCCGTGGAGGGAAGTAGGAAGTGTGACGGGTTTAAAAATGATTAAAGTTGGTCATTAAGAGCTTTATGTGAAAGGATATTAAATTCTGTTCTAGATTTTCCTGGAAGCCAATGACAAGAAACTGAAGCTATAGAGAAATATTATCTCTCCTGCTTATTTTCACCAGAAGATTTGCTTGTGTTTTTTTTTTTTTTTTGATCAGCCCGAGACTTTATTATTTATTTTAATGTTACAGCAGCAGATCAAACAAAGAAAAGAATGTGCTTAAAAAAGTAAACACACAAATGTCCCAATTACAGTATGTTACCAGACCTAACCAAGTTGCATTTCTGATGCAATATCAGCAAAAACATGACTTTAAACCACTGACAAAATCAACATCTCCACACATCTATGTAATTTGCAGGCAGCTGCAAATCAAGATTACAACAACTGGGAGCATTTTTTTTTTGTTCCTGCTGTGCTAAAGTGAGTCTCAGTCCCTTTCACTTGAATCACAACCTCCCTTGATGCTGTATTGTATGCTGCTACTTTGCAGCCATTGTAGGAACCGGAATGACATCTCTKCCTCTGTTATGATGAATATCTCCTTGTACATTCTTTTTCCCCCAGTCGGTGCAAAATGTGTGTAGAAAAAAAACCCTCTGAAATCAGTTTGCCATTGTACAGAGTTGTTGTCATTGTGCCTTTTTTCAGTCATTTCTGCYATTTTGTTCACTTCCTCTATTGTCATTTAGTTCCAGAGCAGTGATTTCCAATTCCTGGGTGTAATTTTCCWCCTTCATTCCTCCCTTGCAGAAAACTAGATGCCTTCATTTATGACGCTGCGGTGCTGAACTATATGGCCAGGAAGGAYGAGGGCTGCAAGGTATGAAATAGGTCTGCCATTTCACAGCTCCGTGCAGCGACACACTCATACATAAAGGCAGCAGTCACTGAGGTCCTTTTGCACGGAATCAAAGATCATAAAATATAAGCATCCCAAATTCTCTTCCTTATTTCTTCTGATGAAGACAAGCAAAAAACGCCTTCAATAAATCAAACTTACTCAACGCATACATATGTGTCTCTTGTGTTTACAGTCAGTTAATGTTATCATTTCTGGACAGAGCTGATGTTCATTTATTTATAAGGTTGTATTTTATGAAGCCCTCAAAGAAAGAATAAAACTTGTTGCTCAGATCTGTGAAATCTGTGGGAGGTCTGAGCTTCCAGCAGCCTGGTTCAGCCACACTAATTATCACTTCCTCTTAAACATCTCATTCTCCCACTTAAAGAATGTAAATATTTAAGAAATACACATTTGTTGATGCAACCAGAGGGATTTATGTTTTTATGTGTGTTTGATTCCAAAAAGGTGATGACCATAGGTTCTGGGAAAGTGTTTGCCACTACAGGGTACGGCATCGCTCTGCACAAGAACTCGCGCTGGAAACGGCCGCTGGACCTGGCTCTGCTGCAGCTGGTTGGAGATGGTAAGATWATGGAAGAGCACTGGAAAAAAAGGGAAAACAGCAGGGTAAATACTGCAGCTAGTGAGATTTTCTAAATTCTTTATTATCTGACCTCACATTGAAAAAACATATGTAAAATCAAATTGCACTTTTACTCATGATAATCAAAATATTTTATTGAAAAAGTTTGGGTTTTAAATGTACCTGGATGCAAAGTCAAATTATTTCACTAAGAGATCATAATGATTCTATTATGTTTCATTGTTTAAACCCGATCTCACAAAGTGATCTTCAGTTCAAAACACAGCAGTTTCACTAGAAAGTCTTAAAAAATAGTTTAGTGGAATTGCCGCATTTCCTGACTTGTTTCTGTCATCATGGGGAGAGAGAGAGAGAGAGAGAGAGAGAGAGAGAGAGAGAGAGAGAGAGAG